ATAAAATAATGAATAATGATTAAAGAAAGATGAGAACAAAAATCTATAATTAAGGCTAAAAAGGATAATGTATAATTAAATAGTACCATTTGTAGAATAGGCGTCACGGATGTTAATTCTTCTCTATGCGTAAGTGCACTCCTGAGCTTAACTCTTAAATTCATAAACTAGGTTTTTTTGTTATTTAGACTAACATAAAGTTAATTTAGAACTTTATTGAATAGTTTGCATCCAATAGGTGGCTTATCATACCTTATAAAAAAGATTGGTGACGACTTTCAAAATTTTCATATCGAGGCGAACGGGTTCCCAAACCTATACATTATGACACTAGGTGATTAAGGGTACTATATTTTCTCTTTATTCTTTGTTTATTTAGAGTGTAAGAGACACTCTTAAGAGGTAGATTAAGCTTGGGAAAGCTTAAGCAATCTTGTAAGGGTTTTGAGTTTAAGTTAGAAGTTCACATTGTAAAAACTTAGTGAAAGTTATCAATTTCACTGGTTTAGTGAAGTTGGGTTAAAAATCTTTAATTAAGAGATCAAGATAGTAACTATAAGTTAAGAAGACCAAACTACTATAATTATTTGTGTTTTATCTATTTCTCTTTACCATTTATTTACTTAGTGCTTTTTAGTCTTAATAAATTTTAAACTCTCTATTTCAAAATCATTTAATAGCTTTTCAAATTTAACAATTTCTTTCAGAATTTTATTAGCGCTATTTACCCTCCTCTCGCATTCCATTGAAACCAATAGACCTATCATCAAAGTGGGTCTTAACATACTATTGCCACCAATACCAACAAACTGATTTGAAAAAATTTCTCTTCCAAGTTAATATCATTACACAAAAATGGAGACATTAGAACACATCACTTCCAAAAACAATTAGAAAATCAGCTCCCAAAAAACCACAAAATCTATCATGACATAGCTCGATAAATTTCGACTTGCTAATGAATTTCAACCGTTCTTCACTTGCTCAAATTAGGAATGAGTAGGTTGCCCACTAGGCATCTTTTTATGGTTAGGGCAGAGTTTCTTCATCAATGATTAGCAAAGTTTGTGTGATGACATTAGTTGACAATGTGATCTGTTTTTTTCAAGATTCTTTAAAAGCTACCTTACATACCTCATTAGTTTAGCACCCTCATTATCTAGGGAAAATTTGGGAGGAAAATATGAGAGCCAAGGGAATGGTTTAAAGCTTTTGCCAATTAGTGTATGTTGTCTTAATATCACTTTCAACATCGATGGCTAGAGAGTGAAATGTGGGAAGATAGATGTTAATTTGTCAAGCTGTTACAGATTTCAATAACTACATGGGGGTAAAAGTGAGCATTTTTTGCAAAGTGAAGATGAATAGTAAGAAATTTCTAGATGGATATTCCAAGACCAATTTTATCAGAGTGTTTTAGATTTCTAGTGGTTATAATTTTTTAATTTAATTTTTTGAGAAAAAGAAGAAAAAATGGCTAAGGAGAAGCCAACTAAAGTTGTCAAGATTTCAACAAGGAGAAGAGAAAAGAAGGCAAAGCAAAAGAAAGGTAATGTCATGAGAAGATAGGAAAAAGACGAGACTTTCAAAGAGAAAGAAAGGCTTTAGGGTGTATTTATCAGTCTATTCTTAAAAGTATAAGATGAAATTAGACATTGAATTTATTATCCAGAGGTGGAGGTAAGGAGGGCTAGTAAGGGTCCTTGCCCTCCTCTAAACTTTTAAAATTTAAAATTTTTTTATTGTTTTTAAATTTTATAATTTTGTTTTTTATTTTTTTAAAAAAAATTATAATTTCACCCTTACAAACATTGAATTTTTTGTTTTCACCTCCCTAAACATAAAATTCTCACTCTATCACTGATTGTATCCTTAAGCCTATTCATATATTCTCTTTCCGAGTATCAAGTGGTGAATAAGTTTTAAATATAATGTCTACAAAGACAAACCTTGAAGTCTATTTTGTTGATTCTCTTTGAATTCCAAATAGCCATGTATGCTCCAACATTTTGTTTTATGAAGAACCTACCTTTTCCTCCAAGAATTAAATACTTCCTAAACTTCTTCTTAGAAAAACAATTCTAAACTCATAATTACATTTATTCCTACATAAAATTCCAATAAAAAACTGGTTACACAAATACATTGTAAGTTTTGTTTGGTTGAAACTTTTGTTATTTGTGTTTTATTTTATAAGTAACAAACAAAAAACAAGTTTAGACACAAAAATAAATAACATTTTTAAAAGATCATACATAATATATATTAAGGTAATAAAGTACATGATTATTCTTCTATATAGACTAATTATGTTATACAATTAATTTTTACATTTTAATTTTTTTGTATATTTTGAGTCAATTAATATGATATAACTTTTTATCTTTTACGTACTTTCACTTTATAACAATTTTTCAAATAATATAAGGAAAATAGTATAAGCCACAACCGAACCAAGTGGATTGTAATAATCTTTTTTTCAAAATCCATAATTATCTTATTCATTGTCTATAAATTAACAACGGTCTGTAATTGAAATTTAAAAGGGTAATGAAAACAAATAAGTGATTGTTTATTTAAATAACTTATTGTAAGGTGATTGTAATGGTCATAAAATCAAAGTTAAAAAAATTCCTCTCAAAATATTTTAAATGACATTTTGACTTTTTTTATTTTAAAATGATATTTTTAATTTTTTACTGTTCATAATTTTAATTAATAGTTAACAAATTGAGATCCAATAGCGCATAAAGATTTTAGGACACAACTAGCTTCTTCGAAAAAAATATGCTCATCTTTCCTCTCAAAAATCTTTGATTTGAGATTGGCCAACAGTTTGTAAATATATGTATATCTAAAAAACTTGTTATTGATGTATATATGTTATATTTTTAAGATAATTAGAGTGAGGATTTACATTATTTAATTTATTTGTATCTTTTATCAAAATCAAAATAAATTAATTTAATCTTGATAAGAGATAATATTATAATCCATAATATAATCTTGAAAACAAAAATTAAAACAGGGCACCGGAAAAAACAAAGATAGCTAGAGAAGAAATCAGACAGAACAAAAGGGTCATCAAAAAGGATAAAAGCCATTCCATCCATCAGCATTCGGTGAGAGTGAGGAACAAAAGAGCCATCGACCAAAAAGAAAAGCCATCAAACCAGCAGGAAGGACAGAGCAGGACTTTGCAGAATCCGCATAAAGAAAAAGCAGCAGAGAACAAGTCGGGGGTCCAGCTGCAAAGATCAAGACAAAAACCAGAGTGAGCAATCAGCAACAAAGGAACCAACGACCCAATCCCACAGGAGAGATGACAGCAAAGCATCAACATGGGAAAACCACAACAGAAAAAGGGTAAAAAGCCCCCAAACAGACGAACAAGAAATCAAGGGAGGACTAGAAGGAAATCAGTATCCCTACCAACACCTTTATTGGCGACACTATTGCCAGATCCAGGGGAGTGAATAAAATGCCAACGAACAACCTTGGATTTGAATTTTTCAATCTGCAGGATGATATATCTGAATCTCCAAGGAACTTCAGCGGGATATCTAGTCCATTTCACAGCATTAGTAGAATCACTCTCAATAATGCGTTCATGAGTATCAGTCCAGGAGGAAGCAGCAAAAAGAAGAAAAGCCTCATTGACCGCGAGAAGCTCTGCGACATAAGCATCGCCCCATCCGGTGGATTTGGAAAACTGAATTTTAATATTACCTTCATCAGAACTGCACCAATTCTTAGTTTAGCTAATTTTGTTTCCACCACCAAATTATGAATCAAGAATAAGTATCTTTTTGTATTCTAAATTCATACTGTAACGAATCTTGGGTTAAGTACAAATTAATTGTACATAAAATTTATTAATTGGTATCGGAGTTTGCATAGTTTGGTTCAATTAAATATTATTTTTTGTAATTTTTTTTTATTTTGTCATGTTTAAGTCGAAATCTTTGGATAGTTAGGAAATTATTTTTGGACCACCAGTGTAGTCAATAAACATAGGGCTCTTTTGATCCTATTAAAACATTGATTGGAATAAAGTATATAACTTGACTTGTCTTGTAGAAAGAGAAATCAAAGGTTAAGTTTTGAATCCAATTCATGAATTGATCAAAATATTGATATTTTATGTTTTTTTTTAATTCAAATTGAACTCTTATTAATAAGTAACAATAGTTATTGAAAATGATAGTTTTATTATAACAATTAAAAACTTATTATATTTTTTTAAAGAATAAAAATTTATTTAAATAGAATGCAAATTAATATATTTTTTAATAATTTTAAAAAAAATTAAAATTGTAAATTTCCCCCTTAATCTTGCTAAATGTGGTAGAGTGAGTAAAAATGATAAGTAGGTAAAGAATTAATGTATGCTGCGACAACATTTAATTATAATTGACATGGTAATAAGAGCTTATCTAATAATATTGAGATGAGCAAAAATATTTTTGTATGCTCTTATAATTTTTATTTTGAAAGTGATTTAAAATTCATCTTAAACTAAGATACAATTATAATTTAATGAATCTCATTTTAATGAGCAAAAATGATTTAATTATAATTTTGTAAAAATTAAGGCACACAAAATTCAATAACAACAACTATATTTCTCATGTTAATGAACCTCTTTTTTTAAATATAATACATAAATACGTACCATAAAAGCATGCATAAAATAAAAAAAAGATAATTTAGATAATTTTTAATAGCAGCCAAAATATTATAGAGAATTTGCTTTACCATTAAAACAATACGCTAACAACACCAAAATTAAAAAAAAATGCTAATTCATTAATTTGATGTACATAATATTTAATAATAATTTAACCTCTTTAACATATATTTCATCAATAAAAAATTACTAATGCATACATAAGAAAAAGAAAAGAAAAGAAAAGAAACGAAAAGAAAAGAAAAGAAAAAGAAAACCCACGACGGTTTGGAAAGAGCGGGACCTCCATTTTAAACTTCCTTTTCTCACGTCCGAAAAATAAAATTTCAATAAACGTCCCCGAAATTACAATACTGCCATTCTACCAGCTTCCTCACTCTTCCCACCACCCTTTTGCCGGCCATTTGCCTTTCTCATTCTCAGATCTATCCAAATCCCTTCCTTTTTAGCTTAATTAGGGTTTAATTGAGATCGCCAGTTGTCAATTTAGTCCAAAAATTTCATTTTTTTCCCAAATTTTCGTTTTTTTCTGGGAGGATTTTTGAAATTGAATTCAAAATGTTGAGCTCAAATGTACAACCAGAGGCCATATTGGAATGGCTGCAAAAGGAAATGGGTTACCGCCCTTTAGGACCGTATAATTCTTCTTCCAACAAGTCCAATTTACCCTCAATCGATTCGCTTCGAAAGATTTGTAGAGGAAACATGTTACCCATTTGGCATTTCTTGTTAACCCGTGTTAAATCCGAGAAAACAGTCCAAAATATCCGGAAAAACATCACCGTCCACGGCGGCGGAGCAGGAGCAGGAGGAGGGGGCAGTACAGAGAGTGGTGGGAATTTGGGAAAAGAGGAGGGGAGGAGTAAAGGAGGGGGGAGGAGGAAAGAGAAGGTGGTTGGTGGTGGTGGAGGGGAGGGTTCCGGTGCGGCGGAGATTAGGGAAGCGGCGATAAGGGAACGGGAAGCGGCCGCAAAGGAAGTGGAGAGGCTTAGGAATATTGTGAGGAGACAGAGGAAAGATTTGAAGGCGAGGATGTTGGAGGTTTCCAGAGAGGAAGCTGAAAGGAAGAGAATGCTTGATGAAAGGGCCCATTACAGGTTTTTTTTCCCCTCTTAATTCTTTAGGACTTTTTTCCCCTTGAACAAAAGACATGCAATTTCAATATATTTTAGGATAGAAAATAGCCAACTTTAACATTCTCGTTATTAGTTTGAAGGTTCAACCTTTGAATTGGTAGATTTATCATTGGAATTTTTCCATAACTATATAACTTTCATTATATTTTGGGATTTGTGTTATAATTTGTGGCATTTTAATAATATCATTATGAGAAGATCAAACTATGCCTTTTTCCCCTTACACGAGGTTGGTTATATGCATCACTTTGTGTGATTGTGCCATATTTAAGAGCATATCTTCAGTAAGCTCAGTAAAATTGATGTTCTTTACTTAGTTTCCTAACATTATAATGTTATCTGACTTTTGTTTTGTGCGTAGAGTGGTTATTCACTATGTTATTGGTTGATCTGGTTTTGCTGACTTGGATTAGTTTTGATTGACTGTGTATTGACTATGGAGATGCCTTATACAGTTATTAATTCTAACTAGAGTCACTGTGTTTCCGAAATTATGGACCATCTTATTTACTGTAGTGTATTATTTGATTTGGGGCTTTTGGAAACCAAAAGTATCACTATGGTTTCCTTTATTCACGTTCTTTCAAGGTACTTTGCTCAATGGATTCGACATTTAGCTCTCCTATTGAGATGATAAAATTGTTTCTTATTTTGATTTTACGGATTCACAGTTAATAGTAGAATAGAGTTCATGTGCTCCTATCCTTTGTCAAGCTGCATAAGAGGACTTATTTTGTAAGTTATGAATGGTTGGTGATGGGTGTTTCTTATGGCACAATATTAACAAATAAATGAGGAATAATGTGCTTCTTGTTAATCCAAGCATGACCTTTAGCATGCTTTAAACTAAAACTACTCTGTGTATTTCGTTTCTAGTAAAATATTTTTAGCAGCTCTTGTATTTTTACATGCCTTATGTTACTGCAGGCACAAACAAGTGATGTTGGAAGCTTATGATCAACAATGTGATGAAGCAGCGAAAATATTTGCTGAGTATCATAAACGTCTTCATCAATATGTAAATCTTGCAAGGGATGCTCAAAGGTCAAGTGTTGACTCTTCTGTTGAAATGGTTAACAACTTCAGTGCCAATAGTGAGAAGGAAGCTGTGTATTCAACTGTTAAGGGAACTAAAGCCGCAGATGATGTCATTCTTATTGAAACAACACGTGAAAGAAATATTCGCAAGGCATGTGAGTCTCTTGCAGAATGCATGATTGAAAAAGTGCGCACTTCTTTTCCTGCTTATGAAGGAACTGGGATCCATTTGAGTCCTCAATTAGAAGCTACCAAATTAGGCTTTGATTTTGATGGGGAGATGCCTGATGAAGTTAGAACTGTTATTGTAAATTGCCTCAAAAGTCCTCCTCAATTGCTTCAGGCAATTACCACATACACTTCAAGGCTTAAAACTATGGTTTCTAGAGAAATAGAGAAAGTTGATGTAAGAGCTGATGCTGAAACCTTAAGGTAGGCTTGTACTTTCTTGTTTTTCTTATTGGTGGTTATAGGATTTCAGATCACCTTCCCTTCCTTCTTCTTCTACTTATCAAGCTTTGTCTATGGCTGTATGGTCACAAATAGTTAAGTACTTTTGTCTGCTTAGTACTGTTTTTGAGAGTTTTAAAGCTGCAATTTATTTTCCTAGTGATTATTTGCTCTAGTGTTGATTTGGCTAGTTATTCCTTTGATTTGATCCTGCTGTTACCTAAAAAGAAGAAAATGGCACGGTAAATAAAATGGTGAATTTTATCATTAACGCTGCAACTAGGATGACTTTTATAAGTACTTTGTTGTAGCTCTCTCATATTATGTGAGTGACATACTTGGGTTTTTGTTTTGGTGACCAATTATATCTACATATAAATCCTCCAATTGTTTGAATTACTTTTAGCTTCTAAGTTCCTTTATGAGTGGGCCTTGAGAGGAAAGACACATTCTGTGTGGAATGTGTTGTTGGAAGGTAGTACCATTAAGACTCCTGATAAGGTTTTTATTCTTAGGAGAGGCTGATTTTATTCTTTTCAGGTTATGTTCATATTTACTTTTGCCCCTTTTCTTTTTCTTGAATATTTTGATTTCATCTGTCTTCACTTGGCCAAAATAGAGTATACCTCCTAGCATTGTTTTATTCATGCAAATATCTTTGGGTAGGTTTCTTGGTTGCTTGTTTTGTTTGAATGCATCTTAGATAAGAGTTATTTAATATCTTTATCAGGTACAAGTATGAGAACGACAGAGTTATGGATGTTTCCTCTCCAGATGTGAGCTCACCATTAAACTATCAACTCTATGGTAATGGGAAGATGGGAAAGGATGTACCTTCTAGAGGAACACAAAACCAACTTCTTGAAAGACAGGTCTTCTTTCTTTTTGAGATAATTACTTGAATGGATTTTGCTATTACATTTATTTTCCACTCCTTTGTGTAGGCCTTTCATCTGTTAATCTTGTGGTTGAGGGGCTTATGGAACTAGATTCAATCTGTATAAGATGAATGAAGCTGGTTGGGCCAGTTGTTTTGGTTGTTACACTGCGCGCCCCCTCACCGTACCCCCCCCCCCACCTCCCCCAGCCTCCCCAAAACTATAAAATCATGTTTGTTCTGCCAGTTACTTTTTTGTGGCTTGATTTAAAGATATGTTTTTGTTTGCAGAAAGCACATGTTCAACAATTTTTAGCTACCGAAGATGCCCTCAACAAGGCTGCAGAAGCTAGGGACTTGTGCCAAAAGCTTATAAAACGTCTACAAGGAGGTAGTGATGTAGTTCCTTCACACTCACTTGTTGGAACCGCAGCGCAGAATGTTGGCAGTCTTAGACAGTTTGAGGTAATTCTTGAAAAATTTTATGGCAAACATTACTAGTTCTTTTGGTAAGCATCTGTGATTAGATGTTTACATGTCCCTTTTTTTCTCTTAAAATTTATTTTATCAGATAGCATGAACTGCATGGTTAATTTTCTCAGTTGGAGGTCTGGGCCAAGGACAGAGAAGCTGCTGGAATAAAGGCAAGCTTAAATACATTAATGTCTGAAATACAGCGGTTGAATAAATTGTGTGCAGAGAGGAAAGAGGCCGAAGATTCACTAAGAAAGAAGTGGAAGAAGATTGAAGAGTTTGATTCTCGTAGATCTGAACTTGAAACCATATATACTGCTCTACTGAAGGCTAATATGGTAAGGGATTCCATCCTTGAAATTTATTGTAAAACTCAGCAATAGGAATATGTCGGTGCATCTGTGATGCTACTTGGAACCAATTACTAATTTATAGCTGCTATTGGAGCTACTTAATGTGGTTAAGTTCTTGGAATAATAAGTTATTAGCCTTCCTTCCTTGATCCATGTTATCTTGGATTACTTTGTCTGTTCTTTGTCCCATTGATAAGTATTTGTTTCAAACCAATTTGGGACCTTGTATGATGGTTTAATCTTTAAGATATTATTGGTTTGGCTTTTTAGTCAACTTTTTCAGAGAGGATTCATAGTATTATCTGGTCAACTTGAGCTTTTTTCTCTGGTTTGTAGTGCTCTATTAAAGTATCTTACTAGTCCAAAAGAATAAAATCATTTTCTCAGATCTAATGATCTATAACTTAATTTTCTGTATATGTATATTGTTTCATTGTTTCTCTGACCAAAATAGTGGAGAATGTACCTTGGGGTTGCTTATCTGTATCGAGCTCTTCAAGGAGAAACAGAGCGGGAAAAAGAGCAGGACTTTGATGTTGTACTGGGTACTTTGGAGATATATGTGTTGTAGTACTGATTTATAGCACCAGTTAAATGATACAGTTACTATCAACAGTGTAGACAATCTCACTTATGTTTAATAAACGTGGATCTAAGTGTTGAAAGTATTGTGTTTTGTTTTCTTGATTTGGATATTTTGTCATTTTATTAGTTTGGTTTTGGTTTTAAGTGTATACTACATTCAACTAAAAATGTAGTTACTTATTCTGAATTATCTTGTTTCAAAGGATGCAGCTGCATTCTGGAATCAACAGCCATTAGCTGCGAGGGAGTATGCTTCCAGCACCATTATTCCAGCATGCAATGTTGTTGCAGACATTTCAAACAGTGCAAAAGATTTTATTGATAAAGAAATTTCTGCATTTTATAGAAGTCCTGATAATAGTCTCTATATGCTTCCATCAAGCCCGCAGGTTTGTAAGACTCTAACCATACAATTATTTTTCAATCGTAAATATAATAGATAATAAACTGGTGAGTGCTATAGTAAATAGCCAAAATTTTCATTTTTTGTTCTGAATAAGGCGTTTGGTTGTTGTCTCGGATGCAATGTGGCATGATGAACTGGGCTGTGACATAACCCGTTCTTATTGAGACCATAGTGCGGATGCGTGGTTTTGGTGTGCAGAAAATAACGTATGAGTTGTCATCTATCATTATATTTTGGACCAAGTTTTATTCTTCTTGATCAATTACATGTCACTTGACATTAAACGAGCTGCAGTTGTTTCAGGGGATTTTAATCATGTACATACTCTCTTATCTCTCATCAGATGGATCTAGGAACTGTAGATCCTGTTTCATGTTAAGGGATCTATCATGGTTTTATTAACCGTAGCCATTTCTGCGGTTAGATATATTTAGATGTGATTTTTTCATATGTAATTCTTGAAGCCCCTAGAAAACTCTTCTTTGTTTATATAATGTAATTATTAGATATTTAGATTTGTTCACTCCTTCATCCATCGAAGCTTTTGCTTGGTTTATGAATTAAGTCAAAGGACTTTATATTCCTTTTCCATTCGTTCTTTGTGAGCTATGGCTGGCTCTCATAAAAATTGTGGAGATAGTGTGAAAAATCTTGTTTACCTGAACTTGAATCCTGTATATTAGATAATATATTGCAAATTCCAACTTCATGTCTCAGTTGTTTTGTTTCATTACTTCCCTATCAGGCACTTCTGGAGTCCATGGGTGCTAATGGATCTACAGGACCTGAAGCTGTGGCTGCAGCAGAGAAGAATGCGGCCTTGTTGACTGCAAGGGCTGGTGCCAGGGATCCATCTGCAATTCCATCCATATGCCGTGTTTCTGCTGCCCTTCAATACCCTGCTGGTGAGTTTTTTCTCTTATGATGCAGGGTAGATTCATATTAGGCATGGTTGTGGTTTTGAATAGACTTGGTTACTGTGCTGAGGGGTGTTTGATTGACAGATGAGGTTGAAAAGGTTAAATGACATTCATTTTTGGTTTGCACCCAAAAAAGATTTATTTTTGGTTTATTACCCAGCTCTCATTTTCAAAACACCTTCTAACATTTAGAAGGGTGATATATTTGCCTGCTTGAGGATGATTTGAATGATCTTGAAGCCCATTTAAAGGTGTGTTTCTTTCTTTCTTTTAATTCGAACTGTTGTCAACCTAATGACTTTTACTTATGGTTAGGTTTGGAGGGTTCTGATGCTGGTTTGGCATCAGTGTTAGAGTCTCTGGAGTTCTGTTTGAAGCTTCGTGGTTCTGAGGCTAGTGTGTTGGAGGAATTGGCAAAGGCAATAAATTTGGTCCATATTCGGCAGGATCTTGTGGAAAGTGGTCATGCACTATTGAACCATGCTTACCGTGCTCAACAAGAATATGCAAGGTAATGCCTTACTGTTTTGACTTCTTCAAAGTTTTGTTCCATCTCTTTGTTTCTTTTTACCCCCTTTTTATCTCTTCTTGATGTGTATAAACAGATAGTGCTCCATTTGATAAAGCTTATGATCCACTTGGCTGTCACTTTTGTTACTTGTTTTATGCTATTTTCTTTCTTAGGTATCTTTTGGTTGTTGCTTTTGTTCTTGCCTTTCACTTTTCAAAGAAAAAAAGGGGAATTTCATTTGGATACAAAAGCGGACAATATTTTGAAAGAAATAAAAATGAATAATTTTTTTAAATAACAAAATATATGATTTTACTTTCACATTACATTATAATTCACATTGCATTATAGTATTTTTTTTTCATTTTTAATCAATTATGATTTTTCCTTTTATTGTTTGCATTTACTTTATAGCACTTTTTTAAGAAGCAGAAAGTTTAGGAATAGTGACTAGTAAGGCAGAATCAGTTTGGTTAAAATGAAGAAATAGCTGAGAACTAACACCGATTTTTGTGTTATGTCTTTACATAGGAAAAAGGATCATGATTGTTTATCCATGTAATACAAATTGTTATTTTCAATATTTTAGAAAATATTATGCTTTTGTATCCTAATGAACTTTTAACTCTTTGGTTTTAGAAGCAAAATCAGAAGTAGTAATGCAGAGCCTTAACTTTTAAGAAGCAATTAGTATGGTAACACATCTTACATCTCATGTGTGGTCTGTCAAAGTTCCTGGTTACAGAGTGGGAATAAGTAGTACCTTGACTTTTTGATGATCAACATACATTTTTCAGACAGAATATGTATAAAAAGATACATATATTTGTATTAGATGGACTGGACTTATAGAGTTTGCTTAGATTATGATTTGCTGTGTGCTTACTTGCCACATGATGCAGGACAACAAACTATTGTTTGAATTTGGCTGCTGAGCAAGAGAAAATTGTCACAGAGAAATGGCTTCCTGAACTTAAATCTGCAGTCTTGAATGCTCAGAAGTGCTTGGAGGACTGCAAATATGTGCGGGGTTTGGTGAGTAACTGCCTTATGTTTCCCTGGCTGTATCTATATGTCTCTCACTTTGCATATGACTTTTTTCTTCAGTTTTATATGCAATCTATCTGAATTTTGTTCATGAAATAAAAGGGGAATGATTGTATTTGTCTGTATTCAAGAGTGTGAGTTGGAGTTGTGGGGTGGGTAGTTGAGGTAGGGAGCTGTGATAGTTTGATTGGAGATGCCTTGGACTGAGAGGGTATTTGCTTTGAACATGGAACGGTTTTGAAATGGGTATCACACTTAAATGTTTTATGCAAAACTTCAAACTACTTTGCTTTATAGTCTCTAGCTTTATGTTGTTTTCAAAAGAATTACAACAGTTCAATGGAAATTGTTTTTAAAGTATTTCACTCAATAATTGAGCTTCCTTCTTTGTTAGGCACCTATATGCCATGTTTCACACTGTTTGTTTGTGTCAACCATTATGGCCTTTTTGTTCATTTCTGTTTACTAACTTTTTATATGGAAACATCAACTTTTATTGCCAAGAATTCTATCTTGATTTATAGGTTCTTGGTTTTTCCCCTTCAATTGTCTTTTAATATAACCTTGGGATTGAACATTGTGCTACAGCTTGACGAGTGGTGGGAGCAACCTGCATCAACCGTTGTAGATTGGGTTACAGTTGATGGACAAAATGTTGGTGCTTGGCATACTCATCTGAAGCAACTTCTTGCATTTTATGATAAGGAGGTTTTGTGAACAAAGTCTTTGAACTGGTGCTGCTATTTTCATCTCTAGAATTCTCCTTTGTTTGGAAACACTTATTTTCCACTGAGGCCTGTATGTAGTATAGTTTGAAATCAATGCATTTCCCAGAAGAAAAACTCTGTAAATAAAATTCAGCTAACCTTGTCTGTGTTGTAGAGAGATATTTACCAAATTTGTGAAATCATCATCGACTTAAAACAGAATATAGCCTACCCTTTACTAAGGATCCAGATAATTTTGGTTTGGGTTCCCTATCATTATCCTCAGTTCCTTAAATGAGGGCTTGTATTATCATATAAAGGAGTGCAGGAAGGATAGCATGCTTGTTTTGCTACTTGGTATTATTCTTCGTTATGAAGCCGTCTAATAACTTTCCTAATCTTTTTTAAGATACTTTGCTCGATGAAGTACCTAAAGGTAAATGGTGGTAGAGGTGAGCATTCGGTTAATTCAATTAGAAAATTTCATTAACTGACTTAACCGGTTTTATGTAGAAATTTAACCCAACTGGTTGAATTTTACACCTAACCTAGTTTTACTGTTTTTGGTTGGTTCATTTGATTTTCATTGATTTAGATACATTTAAAATTTATTTATTAGATTATTTGAAAAAAATTATTGGTATTATATTTTTCATATGGTTAATTTAACCTTATTTTGGAAAAAATATTAAACATTGGCTTTGACATTAAAATAAAAAAGAATACAACACAATTTAATACTAAAATAAAATGAATTACTGCCTAAGTGACATAAGTTTTTGCATAGTAAAATAGTCATGACAAATGACCAAATTGAAGGTGGGGAGAGGGTTATATATTTATATTTATATTACCAAATTTAAGTTTTAAAGGACTTATTTTAATTTTTTTTAGGACGGAAATTGGATAACTAGGTAATTAGATAAGACTTATAGTCTTATTGGACATTATACTTATTTTGATTTTTAAGCTTTAAAAAGGGGAGGGGTTATTTTATAATTATATTTATGTTACAAATTTTAAACTTTAAGGGATTTATTTTAACTTTTAACTTTATTTTTAATTTTTTGATGATGGAAAGTAGATAATTAAATTATTTGATATATATATATATATATATTAAAAGTAAGTATTTATTGATGCTCATAGCTATAAGCTAAGACAAAGCTCAGTGAGCTGTTAGTCACATAAGGAACATGAAAAAATAATAACCCCATAACATCTAAAGAATCTAGACTTGGGATGTCTATATACATCAACTAGTAGACACTAATTTCTAGCATGTTTACACAATTTGTCCGAATTTACACAACTAATTATCTTAGTCTCGTCTTGCTAGAATCACAAATTCTCAAGACTCGCAAAATTCAAAGTCCAGAACAGTGGTACAAATTTTAAGCTTATAGCCTTATAGGATATTAGGACTTATTTTAATTTTTAAGCTTTAAAGGGAGAGGGGTTATTATATATCTATATTTATATTACAAATTTTTTAAATTTTAAGGGACTTATTTTTATTTTTTGGTGATGAAAATTGCATTAATTAATCAAATTATTAGGATAATTAGAATAAGTTACTAAATAGTTTAAATAGATTAATTTTTATCACTAGAATGTAAGGAGTTAGTATTTAAGCCACTTAGATTAATAAATTAGATTAGGAGAGGTAGGATCTAGAAAAACTTAAGGTTCTTGTGTTATAGTATCTAATTGATTAATTAATCAATTAGATTAATTGATCCTTTAGATGTTAACACTTAAGACTTAAGCCGCTTGGATTAATTAATTAATCAATTAAGTGCTTTGTAATTTTTTTAAGTGATTTGTACAAATAAAACAAATTGAGTAGTAAAAACTCTTTTTCATTTTTGAACATTTTTGAGTAAATAATGAGATGATGGCTACATATCTTGTAAACAAAGAAATTTTGATAGAGTTGTGCATTATGTTTAATTTTCTATAGGTCTTTTATCTAATTATATCAATGATGTTAATGTTTAAATAAAGATTTATTATACAAATTTATTTTTTTGTTGCGTTAGGAAGTTGAATATGGACATGAATTATATACTTATATACATAAAAATAAATAAAATTTAAAATAAATTAAAAAATAAAATACTAATGAGATTATGTGCTATTTTTATTTAAATTTTAAGTAAAATACCCCCACCTCTCTAAGTTTTAATTGAAATTTTAAATAGGTCTATTAATTTTTGAAATGGACATTTCACTTTAAAAATGCAAACACTGTTAACAGATATTAAAAAAAATTAAAATGCCCTTTTTTTCTTTATTAATATTAAAAATTATTATTATATTTTAAAAAAATAAAAAAAAGAGAGTCCCAATCGGGCTCCCTAGGGAAGCATCGATGCTTCCTTTGGGAGCTCGATCGAGGCTCCCTGGGGAGGTTTTTTTTTTAATTAAGAAAAAAATTAATAAAATTATATAATAGTAATTTTAAAAATTAATCAATATTAAAATTGTATTTTTATTCTTACCGCATCATCAAATTGATGAAAACACTAATAGTTACTAACGGCTAAATTTAAGTGTCCAGCGAAAAATATTTTTTTGAAACGGAGTATTTATTTTTAAAAATTAATAAACTTTCTTGTAATTTCGTTTAAAATTTAAAAAGTAAAAGTATTTTTCCGTTAATTTTTTATTGGTTGATACAATTTGAATTCTTAATTTATATGTTAGTATAGAGACATTGTGTGAGTAACATACATGCAAGAATAATCTTTAAAAAATATTAAATACGAAGTCGGTTAATTCGATTAACCGATTTCAAATTATTTTAATCAAATTGACTTAACCAGCCTCCTTAACCTAATTAATTGATCCAAATAAATTAAATTTTGTCAACTAATTCGATTAAAAATGCCTTAGGGAATTAAGAATATGTCAACTCTATCTGGCTATTTCACCAAATAATCCTCAATTTAGTCAATTCATTTTTTTTATTCGATTAAAAAATTTGTCTACTAGCTTTCTGTGCAATTACAAGGTCATTGTGGCTATTTCATAATGAGATAGTGTTCAATGACAACTCTGGGATGTGTCTCCAGTGTGTGATCTTATTAAATTGCGTATTGCTAGCTGTATGGATGAAAGCTAAGTGGCCTGATATGACGTAAGAAATATTTACACGTCCGACCAATGTGCATCATATACAACGAGATAAGTTGTAAATTTGAAAGCTATGTGGATGGCTCCACAAAAAGGTTGGATGAAATTTAATGTGGATAGAGCTTCGTTACATGCCCTGAAGGAACGAACAAGTAGGGAACAGTTTTGGCTAAGGTTTTCGCCTTTGTTCGCCTAGTTAACCGCTGAACTTGTCCCGGTAGCTATGGCAAATCGGATAAGCATGTTCCATGGAACAACAGCCAGAGGGTGGAAAAGGATGGACGCTTTTACTTCATGAAGAACCCTAACCCTGCTTATGAAGTAACATTCTTAAACAAGTTGCCATATGAGTTAACTTGTAGTGCTGGGAAATCAAGCCATGAGGTTGCAAGCTGCATTCAAAGAATAATTGAGCAAGCTTGTCTTATAAATGCACAAGTTTCACTAGGAAAGATAAGTATAGAGCCTTGACAGGAAAAGATGGTACTGTGGTGGAAAGCCAAAGCTTTCATGGGGTGCTGGAAAATATTTTGCCCCATTAACAAAATTTTTTTTGCTCAAAGCCTCAGTAAAAATTGTTAGATACTTAAAACATCACCTAGAAATATATATGGAATAATGCAGCAACTTGCTTACCCTATGTTGCCACAGTCTGTGAAGAACTCTGCTCGTATTACTAACGGATATCTATCAATCAAAGAGCAGAATATGTCCATTATCCTCAAATCAAGGAACATAATATTTTCATTAGTCAATATTCTCCATGTTTTAAGTAATAATATTTGACAAATTTTTTAATTCTTTTCATATTTATTTTCAGCATTTTTTTAGGGATTTTAGCAGATATTTAAGAGTGATAGAATCTGTACAAATTATATATATATATATATATATATATTAATTCTTGATCTTGTTAATGAAAACAAGGTTTCTCTGATTCTAAAACTAATCTATTGGTATTTTGTGTATATCACTGGTTGCCCTAAGGATACATTAGTATTATTGTGGCACTTCATGAATTCAATGCCTGCCTTTGAAGAAACGCCATGGCCTATCAACGAAGGTTTTGAGAGCTTTTGCAGAGGGGTTCATGCCTTTGGGCCATTCCATGATCATGTTTTGAAATATGGGATGGAGAGTTTGTAGAATCCTGTGAAGATATTTTTGGTGAGAAATAAAGATATGAAGAGAGATCCGAAAGAGCAAGTGAAGAAGTTGGCTTCTTTTCTTGGAAAGCCATATTTGGAGGTATACAATGTTGTCTGGAGGTGCAGCCTGGAAAGGCTTAAAAACATGGAGGTGAACCAAAATAGAATGGACCGTTGGGTGGATGTTGACTGCAAGTTTCATTTCAGGCGTGGTTTGGTTGGCGATAAGAAGAACTACATAGCTGAAGAAACGAAAGAAAGGATAGACAAAGTTACATATGAAATATGAGGGATCTGGTATGGAATTTCAGATTTGATGATGAACCCATGTAGCCTGTTTGATGTCTTCCTTATTATCTTTGCTAGCTGCTCTAAGCCTCTCTCAAATGTCTAGTTTTCTCAAAGTTAAAGACTTCTTATTATAGAGGTATATCCATGGTTGTAGCTTTATGTTAATGTATTCCAATTAAATATTGAATAAGGAGACCATGCCTCCAATGAAAACCGTTCAATTGCAATAAGATGGAATTGTCCTGAAATAATTTAGTACTTTACTTTTTGGGATAAAGAAGATAAATACAGGAAAAATAAAGAAACTGTAAGTATGATTGCGGTTTGTTTTGCCCTCCCTCCCCTTACTAATATTTAATTCTTATGAACATTAAAGGCAACAATCTAAACAAGAATAGCCAAATCAGTTCACACAGTGTTCAATTGTTAAATAGCAAGTTTGTTAATTTTAAACTGTCAATGTACTTGTTGATAGTGTCTCTTTTCGGTTTTAAGTGTGCCAATGATAGGAAGGGGCCAGGAAGCCACAGGGCCAACCCCATTTCAATCTCTTGGACTCAAACCAAGAAATTAGCAGAGTTTTTTTTTTTTTTTTGAAATTCGAATTTGATTCTTTTCATACACACACTTGAAGGGAAGAGAGGGGGGTAGTTTTCTGTCTCATTTGGAATAATGATTGGAAAACCTGCTAAAATGGCTTAACCTAGTATTCCTAACCAATGATTATGTGTTGATTGCATTTCGTGGGAATTGGGTAAACTAAACATGTAGGGTGCTTGGCTTGCAAAGCAGGTGGAAATGTGAAGAACATAAATGCAGCAAAAATAAAAATGCATTCCCATTGTTCAAGTTTCCTGGTATTTTTCATGGCCTTGGCACATGATATCTGTGGCCACTCTAAGTGTCCCGTGAACCAACAGGCATCCAACTGTCCCACATTGTTGAATTTACACTATCAAAGGGACGAATTCAATAAATGGAACATAATTGCAACCATCAAAGCTTACTGGCTTGAAACCTTCATTTTCAAATTGTGCATTCCTTTTGAGCTGTTTGGAGGTGGAGAAATTAAAACTGAGATCACTGCTACCAGTTTGCAGTTGACCGGTTTTTGCATGAATTACATAAAGAAGATTGATGGGTGAGGCTATAAAAGCTGATGAGCTAATTGTTTATGCCTTGTACAAACTTTTCAATATAAGATTAAAGTTCAAGGCGTCTGCTATATAGTTTCTCATTAAAATCAGAATAAACAAAAGAGCTTCTTGAAGAAATGGGAGGGCTGAAAATGTCTTGGTTTCCCTCAATATTGTTGCTTAGTTTAACAATCAATAATCTCTCAGAGGCTGGCCGTAAGCTTCATTCTACCGTTGTTGTTGGAACCGTGTACTGTGATACTTGTTTCCAGGAGGATTTCTCTAAGGTCGCACATTTTATTTCAGGTCAGTTCTTTCAGTTTCAAATTCCTAGCCTTCTATTTTGATCTGTTTAGGCTCAAAATTAACATGTTCTCTAGGATTTTGTTTGTGCAGGTGCATCTGTTGCGGTGGAATGTAAAGATGGGACTTCGAGGCCTAGTTTTCGACAAGAAGTGAGAACCAATGAGCATGGAGACTTCAAAGTTCATTTACCTTTCTCCGTTGGCAAACATGTCAAAAAAATCAAGAGATGTTCAGTGAAACTTATCCGTAGCAGTGAGCCATATTGTGCGGTGGCCTCAACAGCAACTTCATCGTCACTCCATCTCAAGTCAAGAGAGCAAGGCACTCACATTTTCTCAGCTGGGTTTTTCACCTTCAAGCCGTTAAAACAACCAAATATATGCAACCAAAAACCAAGTGTTGAAGATTCTAAGCAAGTCAACACCCAAAACACCTTGGGGTTTGGCCAACCAAATTTTCCCATATTCCCACCTCCACTTGCAGACCCAGCATCCCCACAAGCAAGTCCCCTGCTTCCCAACCTCCCACCATTACCTCAACTCCCTCCCCTGCCTCCCCTGCCATTCCTTCCAGGGCTCCCTATTCCACCAATTCCTGGAAGGAATTAAAAAAAAAATTAATTAATATGACATGCACTCAGAAAACCCGACCAATATGATCATTACTTTCTCTCCAATCTAAGATTTCTTCAGTTGGCCAGTTAATTATATATTGGTAAAGTTCACTTTTCATGTAGAGCAGCTGCTCAATTCCCTATTCCCGCCCCTTTATCCTCCTGCTGAAAATTGATGTGGTTTAACCTTCAATGGAGAATCTTGTTTTGCATAATATAATGGGAGTTTTATATATCAGAATTGCGTTTAATAAGAGGAAAAATGCTTGGCTGAGACTAGGAAACACCGTATGCATATGACCAACACCAACGACTACAACTAATGAAACGAAATCCCCACTTATTATAAACACATGAAAAAAGAAAAAGAAAATGAAAAAGAAATTTTCTGCAACAGAAATTGACAATTATTAGTTAATGATTTTAACGGATGACGGTTATAATACAAATAAGAGATTGGAAAATGCTAAGGCGCGGGCAGTATTTATTATCCGAGTAGATATAAAAATAATTGTTATTAACATTTCATATTTTGTGTTTATTCTAACATAGTGTTAGAGGATGAATATAAAAAAGACAGAATACTTCAAAACGCCTTTTAATTATTTAAGAAAATAAAAATAAAATTTTATTTTTTATTATATTCAATCAAGTTATATTATTTTATTTTGAGATAAATAAGTTTTTATAATTTACGATTAACTAGCTATCACTAGTCAAAAATTATCTTTATCGTTTTTATACTAAGTGACACTAATGTGTCATTGACATAGAGGGTAAAACTACCACATGATCATACTATCATGCTATATCAGTATATTACGTCATCATCTATTATTATATGTTAACATATCACTCTAACAATATATGAGATAAAAATGATAAATATTATTTTAATTAATGATAGTTAGTTAATTATTAGTTATAAGAGTTTATTTGATCTAAACAAAAAATATAAAAATTTGATTGAATAAAACAAAAAAAATAACTTATTTGAATTTTGTAAAATAATTTAGAGGTTTTTTTAGATGTTATACCAATAATAAAATTAGTAATAAAGTCATAATCCATATAAGAATAAAAGTAGATATTTGTGCTTTGCAATATATCCATTTTAATCAATTTTTATTTTATCTTTTTTAGTTAAGTACTCTTGATATTAATTTTTTATTTCCATCTCAATCCTAATAATAAAATTGAATTTGTAGCCTATTTCTTAATTTTTTCAATATAATTCCTATTTTATTTCTTTGGGTATATATTGATGCATTGACGGTATGTAAAATTAAAAATTTTTAAGACTTAAATTTAAATATTAAAAAATTTTAATAATTAATTCAAGAAAATGAAAAAATATATTTTCTCTCCATCGCCCCCACAATTCTTTTATTATGTTCTTTTTTTCTCTCTCTAACTTTATCATCTTCTTCTCCCTTTTTCCTCCATTGAAATTAGAAATTAAAATATTTTCATTGTTCCCCAAAATTTCTTTCACCTTCTATTCTTGTTTTTCAGCAAGCATTCATATAAAAATCCTGTCGAATCCCTAAGACAGAGTGTTATTGAAACCTTAAGAGAGAGAAAGAAGGAAAAATTTACTATGGAGATTTTTTTTTGTTAAGAGAAGGAGAGAGAAAGAGTGTTGTTGAAACAAAAGGCCTTGTAGCTCAATAAGGAAGTAATTTTATAGTTTGTAAGCATTGGTAGTACATGGGTAGGCAATTGGCCAATTTGATCACCAATTGTGGTAGAAGAATATTTCATTAAGTTGTGACAATATTGTGGGACAGTATCAGTGTTAGAAAAATTTTAGTCACAACTTCTGTTAGTATTTTAATTTGATATTAAGTTAAGGTTAGTTAATTATTTTTTACCATTTTTATCATTTATGTGGTTATCCTATTATAACCCTAAACCAAACTAAAAGTAAAATTCTAATTTATTTATTTGCAAAAAGAATAATTGGTTATCACATTATAACCCTAAATCAAATGTTAAAGTCACTTATAAAATATATTACTAAAGTCAACAAGTAAAATCTCTTGAACAATTTTGCGAAACCTATTTTTAATGGAAGAAAAAGTAGAGAAGTAGATGATGGAGTTAGAGATGGATAAAAAAATAGAGAACAATAAAATAATGTTGTAAGGGAGCTGGGAAGAGAAAAAAAAGAATTTTTTTATTTTTATTTAATTAATTATTTAAATTTTTTAATATTTAAGTTTATATCCTTAAAGATTTTTAGTTTTACATGGTGGCAGCATTTGGAAAATTAGTGATTATCCAAAAATTTCTTCTTCTAAGTTGTGAGTTGGAGAAGACTTGATAGTTTGCTGCTTGTTAGCATAATTCTTTTGAGGGAATATTGAAATTTGAAATTTGAATACTTGAACTTTGAAGAAAAA